GAATAGAGTCTAACCTTTGCAATTGCTAATTTATTACCAAAAGCTTTCATCAAGTCTGAGAACTCAGATAAGGAAAGTGTTCCGTCTTCATCATAGTCCTGTTGCAGTGCGGGAACTGTTATGTCTTGCAGGGTGGAACACAAAGAAATAAAGGCAATACACACAAAAAGAAATTGACGAGCATCATATTCGAAACCATTACAATGATACGCAGCTCTCCTGCGTACCCGAGAAAAAATATTTGAAAGCATTCAGCAACATTATGATCACTGGGCATTAAAGAATATTGTCTTTGAGTCGGACACTTGGTAAAAGCAACAGCAACAACAAAATTAGACGAGGTGCAACTGCAGTAAATAAGGCATATTATAATACAAGCACACTCATTGCAGAGCATTGTCTTTTAGTCAAATGCGCCGAGTCCTAAATGTTTTTTTAATACAAAAATCATCAGTCCAGGACATCCCAATAAATTTTTCTTTCAATTCTGCTGAAACCCTACCTCAGTTCTTAGTTTAACTGCTGCAGTACCAATGCACTCACTTGTTACAGCTAAAAGCTATTAATATGATTCATATCTAAATATCATGAGCACAAAATTAGTTAAAAATAGCATGAAAAACGTTGGCATGCTCCATACTTCCAATGATGTGATTTGTAAGTAATAATCATATATGAAGACATGGTATCAGTATTAAAAGAATACCACTATAGCTAAGACACGGCGGGCAAAGCTTTGTTCTGTTTCAACAGGGTCCTGAAATGGAATAAATGGACAAAAATAAAATCAGTACATGAACGGTGCTCTGTGAGTTCTGATAAAAAAGACAAATAATCAAGAACAGTTACTTCGATGTGACAGGAGATGGATATGCTGCCCACGTTAGTATTGGGTGACGATGGGTCCAACAGAGGAAGGTCCTCAGAGTGTTCCTCCAAGTCCTGATATGGAAAAATTCAAGTTCAGGAGCATTCCCAACATAATATCTACATTAGAAAAGGAAAAGAAGGCTTCTAGTCTTAATCACCAACAAGCGGAAATAGTGTCTCCAACTTTAAAAGACACAAAACATTCCCTAGGGTCTACTCTAGCTAACTGGTATGCAGCCTACTAAACTGAAGAGGACATGAGCCTCTCCAAAAGAAAATAAGAAATAGCCCGTGTAGGGAGACAAATATGACTTAAGGATGAGATGAACAATAGTGTTACCTTAGTAAGCATTTCGAAGAGATCAACTTCGCAGTAACCAACCAAAGTATTCTTTGAAAATCGGTTCGTCTGCAAAGTAGAAGGAATGCAAAGTCACTGTCTATATATTTTAATATTTACTTTACCTCCATCAATAAAAGTAAAAGCTGTAAAGGTACTGTCTATATATTGTAATATAACTTTACTTCCATCAATAAAAGCCTGTCCACCAATAATTTGCTTGTTTAGAAGCATGTGTATAAATAAAATGATTACACTGTAACAGAAAACCATACAGGTAAGCACGTAGATAGCATGCTTTTAGTTAATCCAAGGGCAGCACTCAACATGCTTTTAGTTATTCCAAGGGCCACATACCTCAAAAACAGAGATACGTGCGATATGAGGTCCATTTGTCTCTACTATAACTTTCTTCTCCTGAAAATTTATCAGCACTACGGTAACAATGCTTAACTAGATGAGGAAGCAATCTTAAATTGACATTTCAGTAGGTTCACAGAGAGAATGTGAGGCTCACTCACCGAGTCCCAGACAGGCCTGTGCGTACTGCAAGAAAAGAAAAAGGTTCACATATTCGAATCCAAAACTGGTACTAGTATGGATAGTAATGTCTCACTACGGTGGTAATAAATGCATTTCAAAATTAAAAATTAAAAAAAAGTACAGGCAAAAGCCAATTCACAATATGCAGTGGATGGTAACTGGTTGTGGTAGTTTTCAGTAAACCCGCGTGGAAGTTAAAATTTACTACAATTCGAGGGACACAACACAGCACACAGACATGAGAGTGAGACAGGAATATTCTTGCAGAGGAATGGAATGGAATGGAATGAACATAGGACAAGTATCGAGTAGTAAAGGTAGTGAAAGGAAAGCAAGGACGACGCACTTGTCGGACGTCTCGGTGCGGTACGTGCGCTCGCCGAGCGACAGGCACGCGAAGAACTTGTCCTTGAACTGCATATCCGCCTGTCCCCACCAACCGAATGAGAGGATCAGACACGGAGCGTCAGAGATGCGATACGAATCAAATCCACGGATTCTGCTTCCACTGGCCGCACCAAAGCGGAACGAAACATCGTAGGCACTAGACTACTAGCACGTAGCAGCGGAGTTGCAGCGCGCAGCCTACGTACCTTGACTATCCGGATGCGCGCGATGCCGGCGAAGTCTTCGGCGGCGAGGGCCTTGGCGGAGGCCGAATCGTCGCCGTTGCCGCGGCGGCGGTGGAGGCGGTGGCGGAGGCGGCGGCGGAAGCGCGCGAAGCGCGAGGGCAGCACCTCGCCGTCGCCGGCGCAGCCATTGGGCCGCGACGCCGCGTGGCCCATCCGGTTCGGACAAGTTGGTGAAGACGAACCGCGCGCTCCGCGGGACCGCGGCGTAGTGGGTGCGGGGCTGTGGGCGTCAGACGAGACGGCTGGGCAGATGGGGAGGTTGGAAGAGTCGACGCCCGCTCACCAATGCCAAAGCCGAGTCCCTACCCTTTTGAATCCAGGCACGCGTCGTCGACTTGTTGCCTGCCCGGCCGCGGTCCCAAACGCCAGTTGCTCGCTCACTGGACCCACAAATCAGACTGCAGTGTGGTCCCCAGAACCGCTTTTCCCTGTTCCGCGAAACCTGCCGTCGGAACTCGGAATCTCTACAGGTCGACGGTGGATATCATATGGGTTGGAAGTCAAACCTGGGGCGCGTTTAGTTCGCTCCAAAGTTGGCGCCGCCTGAAATATGGAGCCACTGTAGCGCAATGTAGTATTTTGTTTGTATTTGATAATAATTGTCCAATCATTGATTAATTGATTTTTAAAACGAAAAATATCTCGCAAATTAAAAAAAAATACGGTAATTAGTTTTTGATTTAAATCAACATTTAAGTCTTCCACGTACGCATCTGCATAAATTTGATGTGGATTGAGAATCTTCTTTTTTAAATAGTGCCAAAATTTGGATTTTAGATAACTAAACAAGGGGCGATTGATGGACCACCATCTTTTCCAGACTGTTGAGTTTGTTGGTTTCATCATGTTCGGTTGTTCAATAGTGTTTTTCTAAAAAAATTAGCACCAACCTCTCTAAACCAAACTATTCAATTATCCAACCAACGAACAGGCCTTTGTAGGTGTCATGCTCCTCCACTGCTGCCTCCATCCCCCTCTCCTGGAGTTTCTTTTTTTCTGAATGGGAATCAATCGGCCGCTTCTTGGTGCTGACAGTCCAGGACAGCAGCAAAAGGAGACGATGATTTGTGACGTGATGCACGATTATATAAAAAAATTATCAGCAAACCCTTTTCTCGTGCACTTGCATTTGTTCACACTTTTTGCAATGGGATTAGCTAGTATTCTAAGCATATAGACACATGCTGGCTCAGCATAGTAGCTGGAGTTGAAAGGAGGTGTCTTTTTCACATGTTTATTTATGGTTCAAATTCTTACGGGTTAAGGAACCGAAAATGCAAGCCTTCTCATCCCAAGAATACACGCATGATTTTTTTATTTTTTTTTGCTACAAACAAAAACAATGAAAGCAATGAGCAACAAGTCCAAGGTAGACTAGTAGAGTAGGCAAACAAGGAAAAGTCAAAAGCACTGTTTGTTTCCACGGCAGCGGTGCATTTCAGTCAAATAAGCTAGAAAAGCCCGCCAAATACATGGTGACCTCCGCTCATTGCAATCGCGCGTCCGCGTTGTAGTATCGCCCGCAGTGTTGTTCGAAACATGACCTCATACCGGCGATTTGAAAAATGCGACTCGTGTTTTTCCCACCCGCTAGTGTGCTCGCCCCCTCCTCCCGTGCGGGTGCTCCTTCCCCGCCACCTCCTCCCTCCACCTCACCGCCTCCCTCTTGACAACCGATGGCCTCCTCCCTCCCGATAGCCGGTAGCCGGCGGCCTCCACCGAGCTCCAGGATGACAGCACGCTCCACCGGGCTTCGGACTCCCGCCTGAGCTCCTGCCGGCCGCCTGCCTCCCGATGTGGAAAATAAGAAAGGAATTGTGTACAATGGCAATGTACAACAATTTAGAAAAGGGATGTAGCGCAGCTTGGTAGCCGCGTTTGTTTTGGGTACAAAACATCACATGTTCAAATCTTGTCATCCCTACCCATTAATTATCTCTTCTTTATGGGCAGCAGTGGGGAGATCGATTGAAGTAAAGTGGGTATAACTTGAATTTATGGATACTATACAGACGTGAGACACGTTAGGAATAGAAAAGGATTTTCTTTTTTTTTTTGTTTTGAAAGCGCTCTTCGTTCAGTTTGGTAGAACGCGGGTCTCCAAAACCCGATGTTGTAGGTTGGCTGGATCCGGTGGAGGCTCCGTCCGTCCTCCACCAAGCCGCCTCCCTCAGGGTCCCGCCGGCCTCTAGTTGTCGAAATAATCTCCATAGCCAAACGCCCAATTTATTCAAACATCAGATTCTCCATATATCGCTATAATCTTGCTCAGCTTATAAGCGAGACTCAGTAAAGGTCAAACGGGGCCAAAATTATGGAGCTCCTGCGGCCCATTTCCACGGTGAAAAGTGGATGCAGGAGCTGGGCTGTATAGGCTTGGGCGAGCTAGCTATGACCCATCAAGACGAAACTCACCTGCTGGGCTATTCAATCCATCTCGTGTTCGATACGGCCCGTTTCGCATCAGGCCCGACTTGCACAGCGCGCGCGTCCCTCTCGCATGATCACATCCGCCTTATCCGTCGCGGTGCGGCTCTCGTGTGGCACATCGCGCGTCCGGACAGACTTGCATTGGCTGTTGCCACCCACCAAGCTGAGCAATCCCTCGCCGCGCCATGGAAGCCCTCGCCTCGGCGCCCCGGGCGCTCTTCCCGCGCGCGTCCCCGGCGGCATTATTGGTCGCGACGGCGGCGGCGGCGGCGGCCCGGCGCCGTTGCGCCGCTCCCGTCTGCAGGGCCTCCGCGGCGGCCGGGGAGGAGACGCCGCCGGCTGCTCCCAAAGCAGCAGACGCCGCGGCGGCGCCCAAGAAGATCCTCAAGAAGAAGCCGGTCTACTCGAGTAAGACGACTGACACCACCGCTACTTCCTCTAAACTGAACTGGTCTCAACTTTGGATGCTTGCTTCTGTCTCGTGCATGCATGCAGTGAAGAAAGGGCAGATTGTGCGCGTCGACAAAGAGAAATACCTCAACAGCATCAACGTCAGTAGTTCAACTAAAAATTTTACAAAATCTCTCGTTCTCGCATTGCAGGCGCTACTACAACGTATATACTTAAGCTGAGTTGCTGAGTCGTGTACATGCCTGATCTGTATGCACGTTGTATGCTTTCAGTATCTGTCAGTTGGACACCCGCCCTTCTACAAGGGGCTGGACTACATATACGAAGACCGCGGCGAGGTGATTAGTTAATTTGCCTTTGTCACAGTCACAATACTTGCTTGCTAATTATATACAGTATATGCTTGCTCATGTACTGATGTACCTGCTGATCGTCGATCACTTCATCAGCACAGTGTATGGTAGCAGCTGCTAGTGTTTCGTTCTTAATTTGCTAGATAGATAGATCATATCTTCTCGTCCTTTAATTTGCTACCAACCAACGAGTGCAGGTCCTGGACATCAGGAACTTTGAAACCGGAGAATACGCCCTGGTAATTCCTCGTTAATTACTTACACAGCTGCAGGCTGCTTCAGTTCATGCTTTCTGCCTGCAGTACTATGTTCAGATTAACGTGTGTATTGGTGAGATTGGTTTTCCTGACGAGTGAATGAATGTAATGAAAAAGAATTCGTCTTCCTCTCTCTTTTGCATTCAGATCGCTTGGGTAGGGATTCCGACGCCACCGGCATGGCTACCAACATACATGCTCATCAAGGTAGTATCTTAATCTACTACTATCACTTGACATTCTGTTCTGCTGCATGTGCCTGCAGTCTGAATAAATAAATAGAAGTTAGTAGTAGTAGCAGGTTCAGGTACTGAAACCAATTGCCAATTTGCATTGCATCATCAGGAAACTAAACCACTCATCTCTCACTGTGTGTGGCTTGTGATTTGTTGCATTGCAGTCGGACAAGCTCGACTACGAGAGGATATGAGATGGCCGGCGCCCGGCGGCCCTCGCAGTTGCAGGGCATCGTAGCACACCACCGCCAAGCCATGCTCCGTCGGGTTAGGACACGGTGTTGTACATAGATGCCAATGCCAACACAGTCGAGAGGCAATTCTGCCATTCTGGCGTTACTCCACCTCGGCTGAAAATAAGGAAGACATCGAAAGCGACGATGACAAGATTCATAATTGCTGTTGTACAGCACTTCTTATTATAATATAAACACACATTTCGTACTACCTTTCAAGCCACGTGACTTGTCACGGCCAATTTCATAATCAGCGAATTAGTTGATGATTATTTCGTGAGAATCATAAGCTTAATTGGGCTGTTAACATTTAATTAGTGTTTAGCACTTTAGCCTCATCCCCGGCTGAACTGGCCACGCCTAGCATTAGGGATGAAAACAGACGGAAAAATCAGGAACAAAACTACGAATGTTAGGAATGAGAATGAAAATGGGGTATAGATATAATGCTATGGTTTAATATGCCTATTCGGCATGCTATGACTCAAAGTGCATCATGGGCTTCTTGATGCCCTCTCGTGAGGATTTCCAATTTTTGGAACTAATGTTTTGAAGCGACGACCTTATGCTACAATAACAGCCACTAGAATATATCTTAGATATTGTCAGTGCGGATCTATCCTTCCTAAATACCCTAAATGGCATCGTAGCGTCATGCACATACCGCCACACAGCTGTGGTACCACAAGATCGTCATGATGTTAATATCAACTCCAAGAGTTCTCCTAAATTCTAATATAGAGGGCATCCTACCAAAAATAAATCTCTCTAATAGCTCATCTATATAAAATCTCCTACAACTAAAAAGAACAAAACGTGGACATTTTTTTCGTGCGACATTTGTTTTGGTTCGTCCATCTGCCCACGCCTGCAATACCCGCCTGCTTTGAAGGAAACAAATCGATCACCTGAGGTCACATGCATGGAAGGAAACAATAATCATGCATCGAAATCATGCTGCTCTGGAAGGGAGGTACGTTGATGTTCTTCAAAGGATCCCCGCCTGCTTTGAAGGAAACAAATCGATCACCTGAGGCCACATGCATGGAAGGAAACAATAATCATGTATCGAAATCATGCTGCTCTGGAAGAGAGGTACGTTGATGTTCTTCAAAGGATCCCCACCTGCTTTGAAGGAAACAAATCGATCACCTGAGGCCACATGCATGGAAGGAAACAATAATCATGCATCGAAATCATGCTGCTCTGGAAGGGAGGTACGTGGATGTTCTTCAAAGGATTCCGCTTTGAAGGAAACAAATCGATCACATGAGGCCACATGCATGGAAGGAAACAATAATCATGCATCGACCCTGCGATATTTGTTTTGGTACGTCCGTCTGCCCACCCCGACCCCTGCGATACCGCGGCTAATAAAAAAAAGAAAAATCCCCCCTCGTCTCTCTCGTGACCCGACGCCCGACGGCGCTCCCTCCCCCCGATGGCCGACGGCGCTCGTCCCTCCCGGCCGTGGCGACGCTCCTCCCTCGCCGGCGGCGGTGGCGCTCCTTCCTCGCCGGCGACGGCGGCGCTCCTCCCTCACAGGTGGCGCTACCTCTCACGGCGGCCTCCCATCTCCATCGAAGCTTTGCGAGCTCGGCCTCGACATCGGCCGATCGATGCTGAGCACGGCAGGCCTCGGCATCATCGTGGGGGCTAGGACGGCCGTGGCAGTACCTTCTTCTCCTAATCCCCATCTCTTCTTCTTGCGTTGGATCTTTGGATGTGTGAAACCTATCCGAATGAGGAGCTAATTTGGAAATAACTCAAGGCTCTTCGATTATATGTGAAACCTATCCGAATGAGGAGTGAAATAACACGGTTGAAATTGAAACCAAATTGAAGTTGAATAATTGAGTATGTTTCCATGGCAGCTCAGTATGTTTCCCCAATGCACGGTTGAATAATTGGGACCAATCGATTTTCTTGATTATGCATTAGACATGTATCTTAGATATGTTTGGTAGATGATATGTATGTTGAAATTGCTCCCATGGCATTTGCCGTATGTTAGATTTGTAGTCTTGCATTAAGAACATGTGAACTCCGATCAAACATTGTCGACTTCGGGAGGTATCCGCATGGACGCTTGAGTATTTTGGTCCCGAGAAGCACAAAGCTTCTCATGAGAAGAACAAATTGAAGCAACATGTGTGCAAGCCATCTCTTGTGCATGCGGCATGATTTGCATATACGTATATGCGATTAGAAGAGGTGGAAAGGAAAAAATCGATCTAGAGTGCAAGTGCACACGACATATCTAAGATACATATGTTATGAAGTATGGAACTTTGTCCCCTCCGCGCTCTCTATTTTTATTTTTCAGATATATATTATGAAGTAATTAGCTTGTTATAAACGTCATATATTTGAAAACGGAAATGGAGGGAGTACTTGTGCATTTTGTGTAGAGCCGCACTAGCCTAGGATAACACTATAGCCTGCATTCTTGTTGTTTTTGCATTCACGTGTATAACTTCAGAGGAAGTGTGTAGTGTGCTACATATAGGTTGTTTGGTCACGCTTTTCTTTGCAATATTCCCTTTTCTCAATTCTCATGGCCTGGTTCGTTAGGTAATTCAAATAGATATGTCCAGTCGGTGGATATGGATTATAATAAAAGGGCTGAAACTGTATCTGAGGAAGAAGAAGAAGATGAAATGATGATGCTTGTTTTTCCGACGCTATATTTAGCTTATATCAGAATTAGAACAAGAACTCCATGTTACACTTCAAAGCTTAGTGGTTTAGAATATACACATGAACTTCTTGAGGGCCATCCACATCGTTCTTATCATAATTTGCGTATGGAGCCATGGATTTTCAAAGCACTTGCAGATTACCTTAGTTCAAGAGGGCTTTTAAAGAGTATAAGAGGGGTTACTGTAGAAGAACAACTAGCAATGTTCATGTACATGCTTGCACGAAATGCAAGTTTTACTGCATTGTGTGATAGGTTTCAGCATAGTGGAGAGACAATACATAGATATATCGCAGCAGCCTTTGATGCAATCTCTTCATTGGCTTTTGATTTTGTGAAGCCCCCATCATCTGAGACCCATTGGAAAATATCGACCAATCCACATTTTGCACCTTACTTTTAGGTACATATAACAAATATATGTACTGTTTCAAAATTCTTACCTTTTTCTTACATATATACTAATTACAAATAACACCTCTTCTCTCCCTTGCAGAACTGCTTAAGAGCAATAGATGGGACTCATGTTCCAATCACAATCAGTGCAGGTAAAGCAGCACCGTATCGGAATAGAAAAGGAACTCTTTCTCAAAATGTGATGCTTGCATGTGACTTTAACCTGAACTTCGTTTATGTTTCCACTAGCTGGGAATGTTCAACATTAGACGCCAAGGTTCTACGTTCTGCCATTAGGTCTGGCCTATCCCACCGCGCCACCGGCACCTTTGTGACTCCGGGATAGGCGCGGCAAAGGTGTAAGGCGATGGAGCTTTGAATGAATCGGCGGCGGCGGTGCCCCCTCAGATCCGGACGGTAGGCAGGAGGAGCCTCGAGCGAGATGAGGGGCGAGCAGATCGAGCAGGATGAGGAGCAAGCAGATCGACAAGGTACACCCTTTCCTCCTCCCTAGCTCGATAAGGTGCGGCTAGGCCATCGAGCTCCGCGGCCCCCGACGACAGCCTGCCCAAACCCGCGTGCTCGGCAGCCCCTGGCGGCGGTGCGGCCCCTGATCTAGCTACTTCAACCTTCTCCTCTCCATCGGCATCATAGGGGCGGCTCCCCCTTTCGTGGCTCCAGTCGGACAAGCAGCAACTACAGCTCTGGCATGCTCAGCCCATGTAACAGCCCATCACGCCCAGTGCTTCTCTTCTCGTCTGACCCGTGCAAGTTTTCCCTGCTCTATCAGATTCCTTGTGATTCAATGATTTTTTGCAGCATGCTGATACCCCACTTGAATGTTGCAGTAGTGCTTCTCTTCTTGAATGTTGAATGTTACAATTTCAATATTGACGTGAAGTTTTAGCCTCCAAGAGCGATCAAGGATAAGGAGAAATATCGTCGGTGACTACTGTACACCGGCCACATAGGTGACGATTGCTATAGGGCATATCTTTTGTATTTTCTTGGTCAAAGATTAAGGTCTGGCATCGGCAACTTCTCTAATGTGATCGAAGTCTATTAGTGTCCAGATTGCTATCCGGTGGATGCACAAATCATTTGACATTATATAGTAAACTGAGAACTAGCTGCTTAGGAAAAACCTTAAAGAGTTCATGACAATTCTGATAGTTCTGTTGATCTATTTATCATTTCTATCTTTACCACATCGATTTTTCTTTCTCTAAAACATACTTGATTACTCGTAAATTCATGGTTAATGCATTAAGTTTTGAATTGTTATAGGTACGGGCAAGGTTGTCGCTCGGCCTTTACCGAGTCGGTGAGCCTACGACACCGCGCACTCCGTGACGATGTTAATTTCACGAATTTTGCTTTTTGGATTAAATGTCACTTTAATATTTTTATAATATTGTTATTTTATCGTGCGATTCTTGTGTTTTTAGTACAAAAATTTTACTGTCCCGTAGTAACGTACGGACACGCTACCTAGTAACATATAAAGTATAAGGTGGACAACATGTATCCCAAAATTTGAGGAAAAGAGAAGACGATCTAGCTAGGATCCATCAAATAGGATGTTGGATAGGGGAGCGTGAATTTTTCACATAAACATCAATTCTAACTTCAAGAGATTGGATACGAGAACTCTTAGAGGCCTGTTTACACAGCTCTTCCATGTCTGGAAAAACTTAGATTGATTTAGCAACATGTCATTGCATTTTTTTAACACTATTGAATGGAACCTATGGTGTTTTGATATTATAAAAAAATCTTACATATCTTGTCGGGCTTGAAAAACTAGAAGACCCTTTTGTGAAGGTTGACGGGCAAAAACCATCGTATATTTAACTTATTTATTTAATCAAAATGTACTTGTAACTAAAAATAACATGTACTGTAAAATTAATTTTAAATAAAAACTATTTTGACAATATAATTGTGTAGAGAAAACCTTTTTCTTAGCCACTAGGCTAGTATAATCTTATATTATTCATATATATCATTTATCATATACACCTAGAAAGTGCCATTCAATTTGAACCTGTATTTTTCACTCGTATGATGCTATCTTGTGAAAGTTAATTAATTTTTTATATGTTCCTACTCAGGGTCTGTCCATGACTAGTTACTAAGTTCAGGCTAAAATAAACCTAAATTAGCCGGAACTAGCTAGCTAATTGGCTAATAACTAAGACTTAGCTAAATAATTAACCTCACCTATTAGCAATCAGCAAGGCTAGTGTCCGGACGTCCGCCCCAGGCCTACGTCTGGACAACTCCCGTCCGACGCACTCGTGGCGCCCTGTCCCATCCTCGCGTAGAAGTGCGTTCGCCGCACCCACATAACCGTGGAGCCCGCACGCTGCGCCCGCGTCACCACGCAGGGTCTCATCCTCACGGCGTCCGTGTGCCCGTGCCACCTGCGGCGTGGCTTGCAGCAACCTAGTCGTTCTCCACATCCAGGTTCTGCACTCCCTACCTTGTGCTATAAGCTTCTACTCCAGGACCTCCAATGGGGGCACTGGAGGCAGCATGTCGTAGGGGAACGGGCCATGCACGCCAGTGCGGACGTAACCTTGCGCGTCCTCTGGTGGAGCGCTGCCGCCAGCTTACCAGCCAACGCCGCCATGGCTCCCGCGCTAGCTCTCTCTTCCTCGCTCGACAACCCTACATCCATATCTACTTTTGTAACATTCATATGAAACAATTGCAACATATGACTGAAAACAGATGAAACATTCAGAACATACACTTGCAACATACCCATTGCAACATCTAGATAAAGCACTTGCAACATACGTCAGAAAAAGATAAAACATTTTGAAATAACTATTGCAACATACGTGCATAGTTATTGCAACATTTGCAACATCCAGATCACCCTTTGCAACATCCATACGAAACACTTGCAACATACCTATGAAACATCTGAAACACCTGGAACATATGTTTTCAGCGCAACATGACGCGGGCGGCGCGGCGAGCTGACGCGGTGGAGATGGCCATGACAGCGGGTGGCGGCGCCCCGATGTGGTGGAGGTAGCTGCGGCAGGCGGATGGAGGTGCCTCGGCACGAAGGAGGCAGTCGCGACAGGCGGAACGAGTCCGCGTGGCGCGGTGGAGATGGTCGTTGCAGTCAAGGTGCGTAGCCCGAGCAGGCACGAATCTGTGCTGGCAAGGGCGCGCAGCATGGGCGGGCGCAAATCCACGTGGGCAAGGGCGCACGCCACGTGCGGGAGCAAGCGGAGCAGGGCGTTTGGATGGACGACCGCCGCTTCCCAACATTAGCTATTCTGTTTAGATCACTAAAGCTATTTTAACTAGTTTTTAGCTACTCCCTCGATCTTAAAAATAGAGCTCATTATGGGATACGTGCAAGTTAAAGTTTTTCAACTTTGACTAGGCTTGTACAAAGTACATACAACTTTTATATCTTCAAATAAGTTTATTATGAAAATGCATTCAACGATTTACCTAATAATACAATTATGTATTATAAATATTAATATTTTTTAATATATTTGGTTAAAATTAAAAGTATTTGACTTCTCAAAAAGTGAGACTGATATCTATTTTGGAACTGAGGGAGTAGCTGACAACTAGACCTCGTATCAATAATTTTGAGAGTTACGAATCTTCAAAAAAAAATTGAGAGCTACAACTTATTACAAGTGGATTTAAAGTGGAGAAAGAAAACCAAAGACAATAACAGTTACAAGAGGGAGAAAAGTAATAACAAAAAAAAAACTCGGAGGAAAGGAGAAGGGGAAGAGAGCAATGGAGACGAGGGTCGCAGGAGTGCCCGAAGACGAAGAGTCCGGCCTCCTCCCCCGCCCATCCGCCGCCGGCCGCCGGCCGTCCTCCCGCGGCCCCCGCTTACCGCATCCACCGGCGACCTGGGCGACGGTGGACGGCCCCCTCGGGCTGCCGCTGGAGGACGCGGAGGGCCACGCTCGCCGCTTCTTCCTCTGGGGTTTCGCGTGCCTCCCCTTCCTCTGGGCCATCAACTGCTGCTACTTCTGGCCCGTCCTCCGCTCGTCGGCAGCGTCCTCGCCCTCCGCCTTCGCTCCCATCCGCCCCTGTGAGACTGCGACCCCTTCCTCGTCTCCTCTCTTCCTTCTCGCGCGTGAGATCTGATGTTTCGTGATGCTTGTATGTGGCGCGTTGGGGATTTCAGCTGCTCTTAATCGTAATTTAGGTTTGAAATTGTCCCGTGCTGCATTGACTCTAGCATTACTTGGGATGTTGGATGTCGGATGCTGAAATATTCCCATTATCCTTGCAAGCGTGTACTTGTACAGGAGTTCTTCGGAGAGTAGTCGTCCTATGACGACTCTGGATGGATCAGTTTGATTTTATTTTATTTTTGTTCAAACTGAGGCTACAGTCGAATGACCTTTAGTTCAGGGAAACATCAGTTCTATCTTTATAGAATTAAGTTACATACATTTGGAAGCTAACCCAGCTTGTACAAACTACAAAGTAATTAGGTTTATATATGATCATATTGCCATGCTTTGTAAGTTGTAACTGAGTATTGCTTCAAATTGCATCATTGTTTTTGTATTGTCATCTACAAAATCAAATACTCGAGTAATTTTGGGAAGATACAACATACCCATTTTCTTGTTATGAAAATAATATTGATTGCACCGTTGTTTCAACCAGTTTGAGGCTTCTCAGTGGCATACTGTTATGTGCTACGAGTTGTTATGAGGTTCACTGGGATACTCCTTAGATAAGAGATAGATCCATGAATATATATTTTTCCCATCTGAAAAGGCTTCCACATTCTCACACCTCTCGAGTCTCGAGGATATCTGTCTGGTTCAAATTCAATAGAACCACAATACTCACATGTGCTAAACAGTGTTGATCTCTACTTTTTTTTTTTTTTGGCTAAACAGTGTTGATCTCTACTTGTTTGTTGATTGGATACAGTAATTGTAAGGTTGTGATTTCTTTGTAAACTGTGTATAATCAGAAAAGAAATATTCTAATTAGAGGTTATTTGGGTTTAATTGGTCCTCTGCCTTGTCATCAGAAAAAGATCTGCCATCCTCACCAGTTTAACTGCATTATAAATGTTATTCTTTCACTTCTCTCACACGTTCAACTGTTACCCTCTCTATCCTGGTTAGATGTCAATGCTATTACATCGCACGGTGGCCATTTTCAGCTTCTTACATATGTGAGCATCTTTTGCAGATGTTGTGCGATCGGCAATTGGCTTCACCATCTTCTCTGTTGTTCTGATCACCTGGGCCACGACGTTTATTGTTGGAGGCGAGCAATTATTTGGACCAGTGTGGAATGATCTAGTGATGTACAATGTCGCCGACAAGCTTGGCATCACTGGATTCATGGGATGAGCCTGGGATGTCCTCACTTCGACTGGACTTGCTCCAACCAAGCGTGGAATGATCTGTTTTATGGATCTTCCTAGGAATTGCTACTATCTGATGTACTGTATTATTATTGTCGACTGCCTGACTGGTAGAACGATGTTTAGCATGGCCTGTGTTGTAGAAAGAATATGGATCGATGATTATGATGATAAATTGAACTCAATCTGATGGACAATGTTTTTGTGTTGGAGACGTCCTGGGATGCACTTTGACATATGACCTTGCACTGAGCAGTGTGTTGTGTTGTGTCCAATTTTGTGGAAACCATGAGGCCATCGGACATTTTTTAAACCCAATTGCAACAAATAGGAAAACGAAATGCATCGCCAGATGAACTGAATGGTCTGGAATCGAATCGAGAACGGAGCGCTAGCTGCAGACGCTGTAGTTTGATTAGGATTTCAGAACTCGGCGCTGCAACTAGGCAACGGATGCACCTCTGATCCAACGGTAATGCTGTGGTAAGGACGTTTGTCCGGATGGACGTTTTATTGGTGCGCTACGACACTAGCCCAACACTCTCCACTTGTGTATCCGCTCATCTAATCGCCCCACCCTCAATCATATCCGCTCGTGAGCCCCGTCGTCCGTTTCTCTCCATTTGCCACATTGTTGCGTCCGCACCGTCACGGTGTGCTCCAGCGTGACCACGCTGCCGCGGCGCTCTCCACCACACTCGACCAGCCGCCGTCCTTCCAACACCACCGCCCACCGCGCCATCCTTCCTCTCCACGGGCCATTCGCCTGTCGCGACGTTCTCCATCCCGCCAGCAGCCTTCTCCACCGGGCTGCGCGCCACTCCACGGCATCGTGCTCCGCGTCGAGCTCCGCATCAACGAGCCTCCATTCTCCCAAGCGGCAAGCAGATGTTGCGCTCAAAGCGCATGTTGCAAGCGTATGTTTCAAGTGTTTCAGATGTTTTCAGAGATATGTTTCAAGTGTTTCATACGGATGTTGCAAAAGTAGATCGGGATATTGCATATGTTGTAATGGTTGTACACGTATATTGCAAGCGTATGTTCCCAATGTTTCTTCTATTTTCAGACGTTGTTGCAAGTGTGTTTATCTAGATGTTGCATATGTTTTCACACATATATTGCAAGTGTTTTATCTTGGATATTACGTATGTTTGCAATGATTTCCAAGTGTATTCAGGTGTTTTTGCAAATGCTTTAGACACACGTTTCAAGTGTTTTATATGGCTTCCTTTGTATGTTGCAAGTATTGTATCTAAATGTTTTAAAAGTAGAACGGGTGCTCCACATAGTATGCCCGTGGGAAGTGGGGGGCGCAAGCGGTCCTCGCGCGGGTGACGTCCGGGCGGTGCGGGCCCCCGCATGGGTGCGCGAAACGTAGGCACGGGGGGGCGATGTCCGGGTAGCATGGCCCCCGCGTGGACGCGCGAAACGGGGGCACGAAAACGAACTGCAACCGCGAGCTTCCGTCCGGACGTCCGGACGTTAGCAGTGTCGCTGATCCAAGAGGTTTTCTACGTGATGGCTGATACATCATCCCTAGGGGTGGAGGTTTTTTGTTTTTTATTTTTTTTTTTTATAAGCTGATTTCATTACTCATCTGAGCTAAATCGCTGATCAGGCCTCTATGAACTGAGGCATAGCAAGAGGTCGAGGTTTTTTGGTGCCATTCCAAAACCCAAGCTACGTTGCATATATTCAGTCAGAAGCCCAACGGAGAAAAATCGTAATAGAAAAGAAAGAAAAAGAAAAGAAATGCTAGGTTTCCATTTGGGCTCAGCCCAGGGTTTTCTCTTTGGCCCAGCCGAACAAATATCAGAAAAAAAATCCTAATAGAAAAGAAAGAAAAAGAGAAAGAAAAATAAATGCTGGACTTACATTTGGGCTTAGCCCAGGTTTTTCTTTTTGGGCCCAGCCGAACAAAAATCAGAAAGAAAAGATAAAAAGAATAAATGCTGGGCTTCCATTTGGGCTCAGCCCACGGTTTTTTATGGGCCCAGCCGAACAAAAATCAGAAAACAAAAGTAAGAAAAATGCGGTGACCGTGGATCGTACGACCTTCAGATCATCAGTGCCACGCTCCCCCAACTGAGCTATCCCCTCTTTATGATTTTAACTTCTTTTCAAATTTAATTAGTCTTTTAATGTGCTCAGGCGGACTATGCCAATCCAAAATTGACTATGATCCACCCAATTCCATTTTGACGGACGTTCATCCATTTTTAATCTAGCGAACGATATCTAGCCGCTGCGATGTATACCACCTGATCACGTGGTGAGGTCCATCTTGCGTCTAGATACACTCCCTTCTATTTTCCCAGCGCGTCAATGCCCGGTCCCATTACTTTTCTTTCCCTTTTATTTTCTTGCACTTTCTGGTTACGACGGCTGTAGACTAACACTAGCACAATCATTCGTGAACGTTTCTCGTATTAATTAATTAATAATGTATTACATTGTTATTTTTAAATTTTCCTTTTTTTCTCTCTTTTGCTTTTCATAGTAGTCATTGATTTTCCTTTATGTATGCTACCAATGTTATCTGTTAATATGTTATGATATTAATTTGTATATCTAAGTTGTATAGAATAACTTATCTACATGTTGTATAGAATAATTTATGTACACAAGTTGTATAGAATAACTTATGTACACAAGTTGTGTTTGACAACTTTTTATACATGAGTTGTGTTTCATAACTCTTATGCTGCTAAGTTTTGGTATAAGTTATAAATTAATTCGTTCTTTGTATTTAATAACTTTTGTGTTTCTAAGTTTTGGCAAAGTTATAAGGTACTTCGTTCCTTTGTGTTCAATAACTTTTGTACATAAGTTGTTTTAATAACTTTTATACATAAGTTGTGCTTCATAACTTTTGTGTTCCAAGTTTGTGGCATAAGTTATTAGTATAAATTATACGGAGTATGTTATAAGCTAGTACAAAAAATTGCTACTAAAATTAAAAAATTTCAAAACATATGCAAGTGAGGTCTAGTTTTGTTCGCCTCATCACGTAGAATATACCGGTGCAGACGGAATTGAAAATAGATACACCGTTCAAAAGTTATATCAATTTCAAATAAATGTTTTGCTTTTTTTTAAACTTGTGTCAGCGGTGACGTCAGACACCAGTTGAAAATGACGGGTGAACGCGGGTTACTTGACTGAGCGCAGCACTGTCCAATAAGAAAGGGATGGAAATTATTTTTTTGCCAGAAAAGAAAACTGCCTATCGGAATATCGTTCGCTAGATTCAAATCGTCTGAGCGTTCGCGGATTAGTGCGGCCGCAATCTCATGTACCAGTTTTTCAAAAAAAGAAACCTCATGCACCAGCGAGCCTACCCTGGAAGACCTATCCTGTAGTACATGCCTACCATATGACTGCAGGAGCAGAAAACAGGCTGCTAATGCAATATAGACATAGAAAATTCAAGATTGGTCGCAGGGAGCTGTAAAACAAGCAACTAGTTCGTTAGTTGACTGGCCTTTTCTTTAGTTTTGTCAGCCTACTTAATTTTATTTGAAAACTTTCAGACTTGAGAGACCCTTTGCCTTGAGCAACCGGATCAGCGGTAGCTACTAGTAGTGCATGCCAATGCACATTTTTTTTAATTTCCTAACCCTTTGGCTTTTGTCCCTTGAACAACAAGCTAACAAATCTTTCATCAAAAGTCAGATGGTGAAGGAAAAGCCAATAACTGTCTGTAGGTCATGTCAACGACCATGGTGGTTGGATCCACCTACGTCCGGCTAGACCAGATTGGATGGCAGTCATGTTATACACATCACACCACACACCTATGCTCTTCACAAAAAATGAAGCTTGTTTAGATTGAGGTTAGAAATGCATGCATTTTCGCAGAATCGTTCAAGATGGCCTAACTAGGCGTCTCGTAATTAATCGTTATTTTTTATCTACATTTAATACTCCATGTATATATTAAAGATTTGATGTGATAGAGAGAGTGAAAAAACTTGCCATCTAAACGAGGCCTGGGAATGGGATGCATGCACGCAGAATCGCAGATGCAGGCGTCATTAACGTAAAATAGTACAATAGTAACTGGTAACTACTGTCCCTACCTGTATCAAGTACTATCATGCATCTCAAGGTACTCCTCCTCACACTTAAACTACTTCAATAATTCTTTTCAGTGTTTTCCTCTCCACAAATTTCAACGAAACCAACTGAGCGTAATCACATGAGGTAGCTGGTCTTATTAAATAAGACAAATTTCGCTTGCTTTCAAACGACGTAAATTTTCGCAGAGCCTAATCACACAAAGGTAGCTGGTAAATAATTATTAAACATCCCAAGGCGGAAATAACATTGCGGTTGCTGGATGTTGGTTGGTTGTTGTCCTGGACTGCCAAGGCAAAAGGGACTAATAATATAATGTACCGGCAATGCACAGCACAGCAGAACAATAATTAAGCAGCTCATCACATTTTAACCACTGCTAGTGTGCGTGGTTGGCTGTCTACTTGATCGTGTGTACATAAATATCGATCGATGATCACACATATGGGGCGAGAGAGAGACCGGCAGTACGTTTTTGTTTTTCTACAACTGTGTGTGTGTACTGAATAGGCATATTGTGCATGCTGCGTACTGGCAAGCAGCTACGTACCTACCTAGCTAACTGGGATCGGTGTCCGTTTGTTCTTTCTTCTCCAACTGATCCATACAATATATATGCTACCACCTCTATCATTATTGCAATGGCCCAGCAGCAACTTTATATATATAGCTTATTAGCTAGCAGATGGAACAAGCAAACAGAAGAAAAGCCAGTAACCTGCTTGTAGATTAATTAGCCTTAGTTATTTTTTTTTCACGAGCAGGTTTTCACCCGTTTTTCATTAAGAGGGAAGCAGTTTTTGAAAATGTTACAAGAGCTAAGATCAATTAGCCTTATTAGTTATCTTGATCGATCCGTACGACATTGCATATTCATGTGTGTGTATATACTCCCTCAGAAAATGA